GATTTGTGCTGCGCGTCGTGTACAAAAAGTTAGACAATTCCACTTCGGCAACGCGCGGGCGCGTGCGTGAGGCGAGCATGACCGCAACAGTTTCACAGGAACGCACCCGCTTGTCGCTGCACCTGTGCTCGACCACCTCACCTCACTCTAGGCCGATTTAAACTTCTGCGTCGGACCTACGCCGGAGCCTCTACGCTATAGACTACGCGTTGGTTTTAATTTATATATCTGCGTCGTTGTCCCCGTTGACGCGCAATTACACATGAGGGAGAGTGTGAAACCCGGGGAGCGGTTCTAGCAATCACAGCGCTTGCGGTACGCGTAGAATTGACGTTACATTTTTGGAGAGATGCACGTCAGGGTACGCGCGCTACACAGCTACGGCGTGAGTTTGACCCAGAAGTATAAATTGGCTTTACCTCTGTTTAATGTAATCTTACATGGGAAACCATGGCATGCCATGACCAAACCTAAGCTGCTATCAGAGAAGTAACGTTGGTCGACTTATATCTGTAGTAGTGATCATGACCCTTTGACTACATAGACTGTTTCTGCTGCTCCCTGATACAAGATACCTGTTCAGAAAAAACAACAACAAGAAAACTGGACTCTTTTAACAAGCTAGATAAAAGAAATGCCCTGGCAGTGGCAAATAGCTTTGTTTAAATATTTGATTTGATTACATTAATGTTTAAGGTGAGATTTACAAGAAATATTTTATTGATACTGTGTAAAGGGAATACTGCTGGTATAAAAGCACCTTATTTGTTTAAAGTTTTTGCCAACCACATGTTATTGCACTTTTGTAGCAGTACATTTAAATCAAAAGTGCGCAATACACTACTTTAGAATTCATTATTCAATTTTGCGCGTAATCATGCGATTAATCGCGATTAAATTTTTTAATCGTTGCCCAGCACTAATATATATATATATATATATATATATATATATATATATATATAATATATATATATATGAGAGAAAACAGTAAATGTAAAAACAAAATGGTCCTACTTTATATATCATAGTACAGTTGCAATCAAAATTATTCAACCCCCTTGACTTGTAGGGCTGGGCAAAAAAATAGATTTTTCGATTAATAGTTTTTTAAAATATGGTCGATTCAAAATCGATTCTCAACGGCCACGAATCGATTTTTTCCATATTCAGGGCTCGCGGTGCTGCGTCTTCACTCTGCACAAGGCAAGCGTCAAGCGCAGCAGGCGTCGATACACACCAGAGACTATTTATATACACACTCGTGTTTAGGAGTCGGGACATGATTCACTTGCACAATCGGGCCAGCATTGCATCGTAACTAACGTTTATCATTTTCACGTCTTTTTTAAGTTTTACCAGTTTAAACATTCAAGCAATTTTAAACTATCCTGTGCTTGCGCACTCGCGCATGTTTTTCATTGCGTGCACATACAGTAAAGCCTAAATCCGCCTCACAACAAACAGCTCGCCAGTAACAAAAGTTCTTTTTCGTGGATTATATCGCTTTAACAGTTAAAAACACGCAAAATGATGTCAAAACTCTGGTCTTGGTGAGTAACCTCGTAAAGACAGTCGGTTATGTCTTAAATAAGCATAAAACGCGTGTGACAGACAGTATAATGAAACGGTAATGGATCCGTGCACTAGTTCTTAAAGTGAACGCAGCCTTATGTGTCTGTCATTAATTTTGTTGTCAAAACAACATAATATAGCATTAATTGTAAGGAATCAGAATTAATAGCCTATGTATTTAATTTAGTCAGGACTAAAAGACTATCCAGTGTTATTTTACATTGGATTACTTTATTCAGTTTCTGTAGTATTTCTGACCTACCCAAAAACTTTTCTTTTTATGTCTCTTAATTTGTGTCTTTAGGCCTATTCTATTGTATTTATTTGTGCTACTTTTTTCAATTTAATTCAAAGATTGAAATCAAGCTTCCATGTTTTGCATAAACTCTTAACAAAAAAATTACCCCATTGTAAAAACAAACATTTAGGTGAGATCAATGTAATAGAAAATTGTCTAAAAAATGATAACTGATATTTAGACTGAGATTTGTATTACATCTATATTCATTATAGTCGAATCGAAATCGAATCGAACTGTGAGCTTGTGAATCGAAATCGAATCGAATTTGAACATCTGAATCGATACCCAGCCCTATTGACTTGCAAGATATTTTCAAATTGGCTCTAAACATTCGTGTTCAAAATTACTCAGCCCCTAAAAGTAATATTGTGTGCAGAATTTTTTATTCTTTATAACCACTGATAAATGCTCGCTGTATGTGCTTAGAAGCTTCTGTCACCTCTTTACTACAATTTTGGCCCATTCCTCGCTTGGAAAAAGCTTCCAGATCACTGATATAATCTTTGGTTTTTACCTTACCACTGCTTTCTTTAAATTCTACCAAATTTTCAATGAGATTTAAATCTGAAGACCATACAGGCCACTCAAAAACATTCTACGACTGAACCCTGCACCAAGCTTAAAGGGATAGTTCACTTTGAAATAAATTTTTGATGTTTTAGCTTACCTCAAGGGCATCCAAGATGTAGGTGTCTTTGTTTCCGCAGAAGTTTCAATTTTGATATTTTTAGGTCAAACCGTTCTTGTCTGTCAGTCATATAATGCAGGTCTATGGCAGAGGTGGGAGTAAGTCACACATGTGCAAGTCACAAGCAAGTCTCAAGTCTTAACCTTCGAGTCTCAAGCAAGTCCAAGTCAATTTTTTATAAAAGCAAGCAAGTCAAGTCACTGCCTTATGTCAAGTCAAGTCGTAGCTTGGGTCACAAGTCACTGGCAAGTCATACAAACGTTTGATGATTTCACTGAATTTATATATTAAAATAAGTTAAAACTACATAAGTTGTGGACTATGGTTTTATTTGCAACATATTTTTTTAAAATGTGCATTTCCACATACAGCTGAGTGGTTACTACAATAAAAATCTAAAAAATAAATACAATTTCAAACTACATAGCCTAAAATGTAAATGTAACTGAAATTATGGCAACATTAAAGCATGAAAAAATAAATATGCCTCAAACATTGCAGAAGACCATTAAAAGGTATTAAACAATTCACAATTCAAGTATAATGGTTCCTATGCCACCAAATGGCATTCTTCAAACTGGCATCCCCTTGATATAAGTTATATAACAGCCGTTGGCATTTAGCCTATTATGAAGTTAAAACCGCCAATAGGTGGCGCCAAATCACCGTCTTAATGTACGAGTCATAGAAGCAGTCAACTCAACTGATTTGTTCAAAATGACAGATTCGTTCTGGAACTAAGCAACTAGGTCACTGAATCACAAATACGCATAACTCTTTCTGTGGCTTGTTTGGAACTATTGTCATTGGAGAAATAGAGCAAAAACAGAAAATATTTGGAATATTATGTCTAAAATGTCACATCACAATATTCACTCTTTGTTTACTGAACTGTTTTATGAAATCATCACATTTGCAATCGCGCCAATAATCTGTAAATATTTTTTATATATGTTATAATTATGAAAATAACTCATACTAGGGCCATTTTTCCACCACATTTTGAATTTTGAGTGCATATTAATTCTGCTGGCATTTTTTGCCACCAACCCCCTGATAACATTAAGAGAAACATAAACGACAAAACTAACAGTTTTCTATATTGTTTTTCGTCATTGGAAAGAACAACATTTTTGGCTTTAAAGCATGATTTAAAAAGAAATGTGGCAAATGTTATACAAAACATATACCATCATTAATTATCATTTGAATTTTTACAATATTAAGCTACATTTGAAAACATAATTATGTGTATAAAGAGGCATGCTGTTTTGACCAATATTATTCTCTCTAGATTTAAAGATAGTCAAATTAACAAACAAGCCATAGCTTACTTTTAGACGTGGTGAATGAAGTTCGACAGTTCGAGGTTGTGACGGTCGTCCGATATCCCTTGCCAGTTATTATGCGTACAACAAATCTTCTTGCATGAATATGGTCATTTTCTAGTGTTTATATCCAAAAGATACGATGCAGGGAGATGTTTTTGTATTTAGCGCGCTCACCGCGATGTAGGCTATTTCTGGGCTTGTGCAGCGTCACGCTATCGCGCAGAATCTGATGACTGACGTCAATGGTTCCGTTGCTTTCATTTTGTTTATCAATGGATGTTGCGATGATTTATATAAAAATGTATATCAAGTCATTCTCGAGTCATACAGTTCAAGTCAAGTCAAGTCTCAAGTCATTGGATCTCAAGTCAAAGTCAAGTCGAGTCATTTTCTTAATTTAGTCAAGCAAGTCTCAAGTCCTTAAATTTGCGACTCGAGTCCCCCATCTCTGGTCTATGGTCACCACCTCAAAGAGCATGCACAGAGAAGTCCAAATTAAACATGATTTAATGACTCGTAAATGTAAGTACACATTGATGGCCTAAGACACGAAACGAGCGGTTTGTGTGAGAAAAAGAACAGTATTTATATCGTTTTTACCTCTTGTAACGCACAGACCGAAGCGCCCGCGCCCTCAGATCACTTGGACGTGGCTGTGGTTACTACATAATGAAAAATTTGAACTCGAGCGAATGTTCAAGCGTCTAACTAGACGCGATAGACGCGTATTTGACGCTGTATTCACGTTCGGTGTGAACACACCATTACAGTCTCTGGGGGGTTGAATAATTTTGTTTTCCAACTGTATTTCATCTTCCAATAAGTTTTTTTCATTTTCCAAAGAAAGTAGTCAACATTTAAGAGAAGTTACCTGCTCAAAGGCGTGCCACTTACAGTTAAGGAGTTGTGGAAGTATTTTAGCTGGGGGCTATGCAGTTGCTAGGGTTTTCTGACTCGCTCTCTGGTGTTTATTAATTATTTATTGTGGTTCTGGATTTTGCCTTGCCTATGTGAATTTCACAGATAAAACCGGTCTGGTTCCAAACGTAATAGCGTTAAAGGATTAGTTCACTTTTAAAAAAACTTTTGCTGATAATTTACTCACCCCCATGTCATCCAAGATGTCCATGTCTTTCTTCAGTCGAAAAGAAATTAAGGTTTTTGATGAAAACATTCCAGGATTTTTCTCCATATAATGCACTTTGCTGGGCACCAAACGGTTCAAGGTCCAAAAGACAGTTTCAGTGCAAACTGTTCAAATGGCTTTAAACGACACCAGACGATGAATAAGGGTCTTATCAAGCGAAACGATCGCTCATTTAAAAAAGGAATTACAAAGTTTAAGTTTTATAAGCTCAAATGCTCGCCTTGCTCTGTTCTGTGTGACTCTCCTGTTCGAACTCGTTCATCAAAATGAAGGAATCTTTTTCCGAGTCAATTCGTTCATTTCGTTCGTTAAATGAACCAAATGACTCGAAAAAAGATTTGTTCACTTTGATGAACGAGTTCGAACAGGAGAGTCACGAACGAGCATCACAGAACAGAGCAAGGCGAGCATTTGACATTATTAAACTTTTTTTTTTTTTTTTTTTAAATGACCGATCGTTTCGCTTGATAAGACCCTTATTCATCGTCTGGTGTCGTTTAAAGCCCTTTGAACAGTTTGCAGTTTGCACTGAAACTGTCTTTTGGACCTTGAACCGTTTGGTGCCCAGCAAAGTGAATTATATGGAGAAAAATCCTGGAATGTTTTCATCAAAAACCTTAATTTCTTTTCGACTGAAGAAAGAAAGACATGGACATCTTGGATGACATGGGGGTGAGTAAATTATCAGCAAAAGTTTTTTTAAAAGTGAACTAATCCTTTAACACAGTAATCTCCTCAACAGGTTGAATGATTTGAATTTTGACATTTCATTTTAATGTCTTCCATTCTGTCTTCAGATCACACAAGTTGATGCAGGAGTCAGAGCAGCACTTGTCGGACATTGAGAAGATCTTGGAAAAGGATAAAAGGTACCTGGTTCTGGACTGTATGTCTGAAGAGAGGCACAAACTTCTCATGGGATATGTGGAGGAGCTAGACCGCAGGGGACCACCCCCTCCTCCGACTGCCTTTGAACCTGCTCGACGCTCCACTAAATGATATCTCACACACACACCTCCCAGATATTTTCCCACACTACCACCGTTCACATTATAGACTCTCAGAAACATAATGATAAATCACTCCAGTCCAAAGGTTCTACTTGTCAAACCTTTGAAAGTGAATGGTACATGCCTACTTGCCCCCTCATGCCATAAAGAACATCATGGGATAATGACCAATCAAATCAGCTGAGTATAAGACACAGAATAAGTATTTGGACCAACTGGAAGTTTTTTTTTATTATTTTTTAATGATGCATTTCCAGGTCATCTCCATAACGATCCACAGTATTTTTATGTCCTTATCCTGTCTTACACAAACACAAAGTTTATCCGTCCAGTCTGAAGGGATAAATCCGCATTAGATGCTAAATGGTGATTGTAGAGAATCGGTCTCGTGTTTGGGTAACTGTCCAGGGGTGTGTTTCCCGAAAGCATCGTTGGCCAACTATGGTCGCAATTTCCATTGAACTCTATTGGTAACGACGGAACTTGCGACCATAGTTGGCTAACGATGCTTTCGGGAAACGCACCCCTGAACGTCTTCTGGAGGTATCACCACCTGGTGCCTGTCAACCCTTTTTTTTCCTCCAGCCACGGTCTCAAATCACGAACATCAATTCAGTTTCACATTTCACACTTTTGCTCCAAACTGTTTAGAAACTGTGATTTGATGAAATTGGGAGAACCTCCCAGTTTTGTGAACATTTTTTGGTGACTTTAGTCACCCACAGGGATATTCAAGAATTATGAAAGCCTCTCTGTGTATGTCATTTTAACTGACTGTTGGGTTAACATGAAAGATGTTTCTAGATGATGAATATGTATGAGTAATATGTATTCATTAGCTTGTTTACAATGTGTTATGACTGACCGTATGAGCACTGGCAGTTGGCCATGTCAACTGGTCTTACGGTTTAATTTAATTGTTCAGATGTTTCTTAAAAAGATATTGTTTTTCGGACTTGCTTTATGTACAGCTGAAGTTGAATAAAAGCAACCCATTTTTTTAACTTATGTTGACTGGATTTTACATTGTGCATGTGTTTGCACAAATATGTATAGAACAGCTCATAGCAGACCACAAAAATAACACAACTCCTCGGGTAATATATTACAATTTATTTTACACACATGCATTTCCTAAATACTTTCTTTTATAGCATATTCATTCTGTAGACATTTTATTGCCATCTTACTGTGTGAATATTGTCACGATAAACAAAAAGGGGCAACATGCAGGTAGCAATAAAAGTAATATTTCAACATCTATTTTTTTTATTAATACTATAGGCAGGAGAGAGTTATGCACAGCTTTTCAGCATTGTTATTGTCTTGGTGGACCTCTGCGCACTAGACGTCACAACACACTGGTTTCTTTAGTGATATCTCTACCTATTTTATTATATAATACATCATTTTTAACAACATAATACAATACAAATAATACATTATACCTAATAAATTATACCAAACCAGTTTTCTCCATTTTTTTTTAAAAGTTTTAAGTTAAACACAAAATTAAATAAATTCATAATTTATGAGGTGAGGTCTGATGTGTTGTATGTGTTTTTCTTTTATGTTGACAAAATGAAAGAGAGGCAGGTAGATTCAGACTGTCTTACTGTTTTCCTTACTTGGGATCCTGGTTCTCCCAGGGTATAGGATCATTTTCCTGTGACTGGGAGCCGGTTTCCCTCTCCTGCCAAAACTGCTCTACATCTGGCAGTACAATTCCATCCTTGTTGGTCGGGCTCTCCTGCAGTCCTTCACACTGGTCCGGTTGCTTCTCAGGATTTTGCTCCTCTATTTGCCCTGGCTGGTGTGGAGGGAGGTGGGCTGATCTTTCAGGTCTTGGGGTTGGCGACTTTGGGGCGGTCGGGGTGTGTGGTCCTGGCTTGTGTTTTGCTGGTTGCTTGCGGAGGGTGAGTCTACGCCACAAGCCTATGTAGCCCTCCCTGAATTCCTCTGAGAGTGCGAGAACGATGACAGGGTTGACTAAAGAGATGGAGAACATGAGGAGCTGGGCGGAGAGAGTGAAGAGCACCGGAGGGAAGGCACCTTCGGTCTCCAGTGCGTGCCGCATCCAAATCCAGGAAACCCATTGTGGGAGCCACATGGTGGCCATGGCCACTGTCAGGCTGAACAGCATCAGGGTGAGTTTGCGGGATCTGATCTGTGTCCGCAGGTTCTGGGTCTTGCTGGACCTGTGCTGGCATCGTCCATACGCCTTACAGAAATAAAGTAGTGCAAAACTCAAAGGTGTACAGTAGGTCAGAAGAGGGTATGCCTTGGCATACACAGACATAAAATCATGGGCTTCGACAGGCACTGCTTGAACACAGATCATTCCGTTTCCTTCTCTTTGCAGGGTGGAAAAAAGCCACTGGGGAATTGGGACCACACATGCCAGGAGCCAAGTGAAAAGGAGGACTACCAGGATAGTCTTCAAACGGATGGTCACTTGCTTGGTGGGGTTACTGACATACCTGTAGCAAGCTTTGGCCATGATGGCCACGGTGAAGCTCTTTGCAGCCATGCAGGAGTGCAAGAACCAGTCACAGGTCTTACAGACAAACAATCCCAGGGTCCAGCTGGCACGGGAATAAGCAGTGGCTTTGAAGGGAACAGCAAATGCCAAAACCAGACCATCAGCCAGCATGAGGTTGAGGATGAGCGCGTTGATCAAGGACAGCTTACCTTTACGCGCATTGGTAATCAGGACTCCTATAGCAGTTACATTCCCGGTGAAACCCAGGACGCAGATGATTCCTAGCACTACAGGAATCAAAACCTTCAGATCTCCGTGATCCAGGTGCTGATAGCCACTTCTCTCCAGAAATGAGCGTCTATCCACGGAACTGTTTGCGGTGCTGATGTTCATAGCAGGTAATTTATCCATTTTCACTGTGATTGATTGGTAAATGAAAGACAGTTGGCAGTATGTGCAGAGAAGAGAGCGATATGCTCTCTCAAAACTGCGTCTATACGCGAATAAACTCCGCGCGCTTATGGAACGGATCCTTGCGCTCTTTTCCCGCCTTTGACTAGACGGCGCGAAAGCGGAGAGACTTTATAACGGACGTTTTGATTGACAGGTGCCGTCCCCAGCTGACTGACAGCGTTCCATTTCGCCTGTCGCGACCCTCCCGAGGCCAATTAAAATGATTTCGGGAAATAAGCACTGACGGCTACACACGGAGGCAAACTTATTGCTTCTATTGTCACTGGAAATTATGGATTTTTTATTTCCTGCCGGAGACAAAGGCTTGATGATTGCAAATGGAAATATGGAGTAGCAATATGAATGAATTTTGATGAGAGATTTTACCTTAGGAACAAAGACAAACTTATTGGCTATAATGTATCCTATTTTAATCTACTTTGACATATTGCTTTGGTAACACATTATAATATACGTTTATTAACACCTTTTATAATGTTTTCCATATTTATGTATATGGTAGTAGCCTACATTCATTTCCAATTAAGAGGACGGGAATAGTTTTCAGTTTTTACTTGTTTAAGTAGGCCTAAGTGAGTTTTTTGTCACGATAGTTAGATGTTTAAACTTGAATTGTATATGTATAAACACAAAGGCCAACATTTAAGTGCCACAAAAAATATTGAACAACGACATATGGGAAACCATGAGGTTAGGATTTGTCACATGTGGGCATGTTGTCACACACGGGCGTATGTAAATGTATAGCCTAGCCTACATTTAATTTACGCATGTGTAAATGTGGTCTTATTGTGTCTACTTTTTATCCAGCAGCTACAGGAAAAATCTGATACTGAAATTTTAATTTGGAGGACAGAAATCAGATAATTATTATAATTTATCCATCATTTGTGTAATTTGACTTTTGACTCAAACAAAAAATTATACCGAAACTTGTGGGATTAGCTAGCCTCCCTTACAACCTTTTTATTAAATGTTTAATTATTTGTATCGTATGCATAACTAATGATCTATTACGAATTATATAATAATTAATATTTGTCAGTGTTACTATCAATGAAAGTTATTATGAAGTGTTGTTAGTATTCTATGAATCCAACAACCTTGCATATTAACTCAAAATACTATATTTACATCAATTCCTTTTTTTCTTCTTTTTTTTACTAATTGCAACTGTAAAATCATAAATTAATGTGGAATCTTCCTCTCCCATAAGCTTTCAGATTTTTGTGTGTGTAGTGTTTTAGTGAAAGTGGTTGTCAGTCCCTTAATATGCAGAGGTGGGTAGAGTATCCAAAAACTGTATAGGCTACTCAAGTAGACTAGGTAGAAATATATAGAAATATTTAGGGTAGGCTACTCAAAGTAAAAGTAATAAACTTAATAGTTACTTGAGTAAGAGTAAAAAAGTATCCAATGAAAAAACTATAGTTACTTATCATATATATATATATATATATATATATATATATATATATATATATATATATATATATATATATATATATATATGTGTGTTATTAATTATTTAGATTTTATTTTTATTTAAACGACTATTATCATTTAGGCTATCTTTACCACAAAAACAGAAGAGACGAGCATTATTTCTGGCATCTGTAGCTCGAAAATCATTGCCTGTCCTTTGGTTTGTATAATAGTAACTTATCAACTACATTTAGATTATTAATCAATGTCGAAATAAAGTAGCCTAAATATGCAGAGTTTTGCATTCAAAGGCATGTAAAGGGAAACATTGACACATAAAAGAAAAAGTTAAACTAACAACGATTAAATGCAGATTGATGGATGGATGGATCTTCTTCCGTCTGTTCTACAAAATGCAATCAAATTTCTGCAAGCGCGTTTAAACTGGTTACCGTGTGTGTCTAAAGGCGGGCAAGGCATTCGTTTTCAAGACGTGTTCGCACGTCACTACGCAATACACACAAACTACCGCGGGATGGCGGGTGTTCATTTCATAAACTGTGAACAATGGTAGCTTATTTAATGTATACATTTAGGTACATGTCCAAAAAAAAATGGTATTGTCATACTTTATAGTAGTGGTATCGTGGCGTAGGCTAATATGTTTGGTTGTAATAATAATGTATTAGCTACCTGAATTAAATGAAATCGAATGTAGCCTATCGTCCTGTGGAATAATTCATTCACACCATACGAAGATGTTCAACTAATAAAGATCTTCATCGCTGGGCTGGCTAACAAAATTATGCATTTAGCAGATTTGCTTTCGCTTGACTGTAGGTCCACGGCCACTTCATCCAACGCTCTTGATGTTCTTAAATCTTCCTTACGACTCCGAGTGTGAAACCGCTTCAGACGATTCAGTGCGTGCAGGAAACTGATTCGCGAACCGATTTAGCTGCCCATAGATACGTAATAAAGGCCAACTTGTTTGATTTATGGTGCGTTCACGTGCTATGGAAAATATGATATTTTCCACTTGTGAACTGGTATTTACCAGTGTGTTGCGTTCAAGTGCTTTTGTTGTCGTAATGTGGTAAAAAGATGGAGATCCAGACCTGTTATTTAGCTAAAACTATTTTAGATTGCTTAAGTCATCTGCTACAGCAAGAAAATGATTTATCAAAACTCAAACGTAAATAATATATGCTGTATATTTTCTAGATCATGAATAGTACATATTTTTACCATTCACAACTCTTGCGTTGCTCTCCGCCATTTTGAAAAGGTCAAAGGTAATCTCATCTCGGCAACTCGTGCATCAAAATATTCTACGAGTTGCCCAGTGGAAAATACTACATGAGGGGGTGTTCATGTGCATTTTCCATGTCGGCTTTTGGTATTTACCATAATTACCATAGCACGTGAACGCACCATTAGTCTTTGAACAGAATCGACTCAAAAGAGTGATTCATTTGTTAATTAAGCATCGCTCATGCCCAGAAAAAAAAAAAAGATACAGCGCTTGGAATAAACTACGCAGTTTTATTTCCATTAGAAATGTACTCGACATGTAGAAATGTAACACTTTATTTTAGTGTTCTTGTTATTATGTTACCATAGTAATAACAGTAGGCCTACATTTTGCATAATTGCATGCAACTAGCCCTCATGCAAACAAACCCTAGTCTTACCCTAACCCTATAGTAAGTAGGCTTACGTGTTGTTAATTAAAATTACTCAGTGCTTAAACATATAATTAAACCGTAACAATGACACCTTAATAAAGTGTAACCAAAATTTGTTTTGTGCTCTGCAGAGGAAAGAAAGTCATGGGTTTGGAACAACGTGGGTGAGTCTCTTAAACTGTCACATGAGGGCGCCATTGTTTAATTCACGTGTGGTGAAAAGGAGAGCAGGAAACAGCTTTATTTCAACTTCCTTTTCGTTTCTTTTTATTTCAACGAATTCCATTAAGCATAAAGACTGCATGGCAAATAATTGGATGTAGATACATTCTGAGCTATAAAACTTTGTTTCATTAAGAAGTTTACAACTGAAGTTTTTATTCTTCAGAAGAGAACATTACTGGTTTATTTGTACATAATAAAATTCCCTGATATCATTTAACCTTCACGTCATGTATAGGCTACATCATGATACCGGCATTTCTGTCATCCTCAGGCCAAAGTAATTGAATGATGATGTTTTAACAGTCTCAGACAGATGCAGCGGAAACCATGTAAAAAAAATGACATCTGATTGTTACAGGTTCATTTGATGGTGCTGAACATATATTTTCTTCATTGGCTCATTATAGATGACATGTTGCATGCAATACGGTAATACTTTTCACCCAGCACGGCACTGAAGAATAAAAAAACAGGGTATACTGTAAAGTCATGAGCATACTGAGATAAAGTGGAGACTATAATGCAGAATTCAAGTACTTCAATTCTGTGTACTGTAAAATCATGTCGCTGCAATTCTTTCCCCTTCTTACACAAAGCTATTCTTCACATTTCTTGTAAAAACATTCACACTTCACAACCCAAATACCACCCTTCCAAAAGCCCTCCCACCCGCCACCCGTCTGCCGCCCCATACGAAAAGAAGGCACCACAGCTTATTAATGGTTACATCAAAATAAGAGGACAACATGGAATGACAAAACATAACCAATGGGATTGACTTTTACTTCAGAGCTCCATTCAAGAGGGCCAATCAGGACACTAAATGCTGTGATTCCATCCACAGATTGTTTGTCTCAACACTACAATCAGCGCAGAGTAACATTCTTAGTCTGTTATGGATCAGTCAGACACTTCGGAGGAAGTTGGAGGGCGTTGTGTTTCAAAGGAAATGAAAATCCATTGTTTTTTGTAAGTAAAGGCACCCCTTTGATTCTGATGTCAGCGGCGGCCCATCTTATTCACGGTTTGTTTTTGCCTTATTAAAGATTCTTCATATCATTGCAATGAAAATGCACATTTGTCCAGATTTAGGACGTGTCAGATATTTCCTTCCAGCAGAGAAATGAATAAATACGATAAATAAACAAGAGTTCATGGAAGAGGAAATGCAGATACTTAAATAGCGGAAGAATGACTGTGCAGGGCAGGATGCTTCTTGTTCGTGAAAGTCTGGCAGCATCCTTGCACAACATGGCCTTCTTATCCAGCATCATCTGTTCATACTTCTCCCCACATCATAGGTAATGTCATGTTTCTCATCACAAAACACACCCTGCAATATCCTGCTGGGCTACAGCTTTTTCCCTCTTTCTCTCTCTTTTCAGGAACATGTGGAGGTGGTACAGTTGTGCTAGTTGACCTTATCCTGGAATATGTAAAGGTTATTGGTGGCCGCCACAGCGATGATGTTCTCATAAGGATGCCAGGCGGTGTGGAGAATTTTCTTGCTGAAGTCCAGGCTGTCCACACTGATTTCATCTTTGCGGCGCTTTCCGCCCACACACACCTTACGAGGTTTCAGGATTGCCCGAGGCTTGCTGTTCTCTCGGGACGCCTCTAGTGTCACATCACGCTTCGTATTTCGGTCGAACATTCGGAAGAAGTTGTTGTAGGAACCAGTCATTATCACGCTGGAAAGAGAACAAAATGAAAAATCAACAATATTTTTTACATTTATTTTAATTAGATCATTATTTTTCTTTTGAATACTGTAACTGTGCACTGATTTACCATTCACAATAAGACCAGTATGTGCATCAAAGTAAATATTTAATACAGCTGTGTAAAACACTGACCTGTCTGATCCATTCCAAACACATTCAAATTTGTCGAAGATGCAGTCATTCTCATACAGCGAGCAGAGCTTACTTCTTAGGTAATCATGTACCTGGTGGAGAAAACGATGACCATTTTTGTGCAAGTCTGACTTAATTTAGTAAACACCGGTTATGAAAAAAGGTTTTCTTTTTAGACAATGTGTGATTTTTAAAGACCCCATGATATTGTTGTCTTATTTTCCAGCCCATTGGTGGAAGAAGTCCCACTTTGTGCCTATCGGGTCGATAAATTAAGACACCGAAGTAGTACATTTAGAGAAACCAAAGATATCAGTGAAGCGTGATTTGCTACTTGCTATTTTATAATTTGAAGGAGATGACCTTCTCATTCTAAAAGGCATTTTATCGGGCAACATTTGTGTAGTGAAAGATGAGGCATCATACTTTTTTTCTGTTTTCCTGACTGTAAATATTAAATGTGTACGTATGTGTACTAAAAGTGTTTACTTGTCTTCTTTTAGGAGCACACTAGCATCTAGATTAACTCAAAGCTAATAGACTCAAAGCAAGTTTGACTTCATGGGGCCCTTAAAAATAGTCAATACTTTGTTAAATGCAATGCAATGAAATGCCTTACCTGATAGGTTTCCAGTGGTTTGCTCTCCATGTTCAGATCCCAGACCTTTACAGTCAGGTAGTCACGTGTCATCAGGTACCGCCCACTGTGGCTAAATTTAACGTCCGAGATGGAGGAGATGATTTCGGAGAAAAAGGAACGATTGCTTGGGTCTTCTGGCTCCTCAAAAACTAGATGAGAATAATTGAGAAATAAAATAAAGAAACCCTTTAAAACGAGGATAAAAACATGTCCTGTCCACACTGAATATCCCATCTCGCTCAGAAATATGTCACATTAAAGAAGCACAATAGATTGCGAGTGCTGTTTCATGTTGACTTTAATAACAAGCGAAAGTTTTTTCTGAATCAGTTTCACCAATTTGCTGCATAGCACATCATAAATCTGCCCGGCTCGCCAGGGAAATAATACACCTGTCAGAGAAGAGAAACAGATTTTTATCATCTACTATCGATTATCCCCTCACTGTTTTGTTGACTTAGTTGTGGATTATCCTGTGATGTGTCGGCAGGCGGATGAAAAAACATGGGCAGTGGGGGGGGAAACAGATCAATGCTTGCGGGGATATTTGGGCACTGGTGGACTGCAGGTGTTTGTCATGAGTGTGCCTCGTCACATTGTGAGCCTGTCCACCTGCAGTCTTGCTGGGTTTCATTCAGAGGGGGCTAATGAGTCCTCTGGGGAGTGATATGAGGGGATACGACCCTCCGCCCAGACTCGGAGCCCTGCTGGGCTTGGTTAGCATCCCCCGCCTGCCACCGCAGATTGATTTTTAAGAATATTCTCTGGGATGTCTGGAAGATTTATTAGTGTGGATGGAAGGAGCAGCTCACACTATGCGATAGAGAAGACATTGAGGAGGTCTTTCCTGAGGCAAACTGGCAGATCTGCCTGCTGTGAGATCATGTACCAGGGAAAAAATTGACAGATGTGTGTATAATTTAGGTCAGTGTGGTTCTGGAGATACAAACCAAGGCAGCTAAAACTCAAGCCCTCACAGTTGTTACCCCCTCCAGCAAATCGGGCCTTTTAAAATTCAGCAGCAGTATGTAAATGTCTATTCAACAGGATGCGAACGCATGGACCAGTAAGCACGTCGATAAAACTAAGGAAATGACCGAATTCTTTGAGCGGTGAGAAAACTATAGGCATTGCTATCTCTCCTTGAGCATTGATTTTTATGCCTAGCTTAAATGTCAATGCATTCAATCTGATCATCAAATGCACATGGATGTTTCCCACCTTAAACTGGAGACCCGAGCCTTAAGAAATGGAAATCTGTCAATTTGTGGTTATCAATTCAGCCATGTGCAGCCAAAGGGGATGCCACTGTATACCATCAGTATAGGTTCATCAGTCTGCATTGTGTCCAATCCCCAAATGAAATTAGCCAGTTAAGCTCAAGGAGACGCAATCATATTAAAAATTAGCATAATCCTCACCTCCAACGCCCTCGCCCTAGGTGGAAGAGAGGCTAATCCCTGTCATGGCGTATGTACTGGCTGTGCTCTCTAGAGACAACAGTGTTTCTAGAGCTGTACTGCCCCATGCATATGTAATATTACAATAAATGTTGGTAGAATGTAGTAAGCACGCATTTAAACTGGGACAAAAATGTCTGCAACATGTTAAGGACCTCAGAGAAGCTTTAGTAGTGGTGTTTGCTGTTACCTACCTATTGGGGGTTTGTTCAAATCCCTAATCCTAAGTATTAAATGTCGGTGCATAACTCATTCCGCACCATTTGTGCAAGAGACATGAATGGTATTTTAAATCCTACAGTATGGCGATTAGATGTGTGCTGCCGCTTCTCTAAGCAATCAGCCCTTGTTTCTTTTAGCTGCATTTTTTTTTATCTCAATTGTCTGCAAAGTCTGAGATTTCAATATGAACTCGAACATTTCTCATCAAATTCCATAATGAAAATTACCTGAGCTAAGCTATTCACAATCATTTTATAAGTGTACACTACCGTTCAAAAGTTTGGGGTTGGTAAGATTTTTTTAAGTGTTTTTGAAGGAAGTCTCTTATGCTCACCAAGGCTGCATGTATTTGATCATAAACACAGTGATATTGTGAAATGTTAAAACAATAGAATAACTCTTTTTCTATTTGTATATATTTTATAATGTAATTTAACTTCCATTTTATTACAGATATTTTGCGCCAAGGAACACACGGGATGGACTCGCAAAATTTTGTGCATAAGTTAAATTCCCAACTTTAGATGGAAACATAGGTAGTGTCACATGATCCTTCAGAAATCATAACAAAATGCTAATTGGTCCTCAAGAAACATTTCTTATCAATGTTGGAAACAGTTGTGCTGCTTAATATTTCCCCCCCCCCCCCGAAGAACAGCATTTATTCAAAATATAAATCTTTTGTAACACTGTAAATGTCTTTGCTGTCACTTTTGATAAATTTAATGCATCCTTGCTGAATAAAATGATTAATTTCTTTAAAAAAATTGAACGATAGTGTATTTCAACAAGTGTCTCATTAATGTCTTTTTTTTCCTTTAGGGTTGCACTGACTCACATTTCGAGTGGTTGTCACAGAGCGCTGATGCCCTCATGTCACACAGACGTATGGAGCCTTTACTGCTACTGTAGACGAAGGTGTTGCACTGGTGTGGGTGAAACTCTGCTGCCGTTATCACCTCCGTCAACTCCTCCATGTTTGCTGGCTTAATGTCTACAATGTCTGAAAAAGCAGCTCAGGAAAACTTGCAGGTCTAGTAGTAGCAGCACAATGAATCATAAATAATAGTCATAATGGGAAACCAGCAAATAGGAGAAAAGACCAATTTAGGTTGACAACTAAATGGTTTACAATTGTGCTGGGCCTAGTCCTGAAGGTAAACTTTCTTTTTCAAAAACATGTTTCTGTCAGATTTAATGACCTACAAAGGATACTGAAGCTTCTGTTTGTGATCTCCAGGTTCCACAGGTTGATCCTTAAGTCATCGGTGGACATGAAGGTCTCGTAGTCACTGTTGACAGAGATGGAGTTGATGTGGTACGTGTGTGCATTGGAAAACACTCTCCGAGGCATGGCCTCAACCATGAGGTCCATGGGCTGCAGTACTGGCACCTGAAGTAATGAAAAGACAGAAAAAAAAAGTCAGAATCTGCTGTAACAATTACAACAGCCACTTTTTTCAAAGATTGTTGGTCATATGACCACTAGTTGGTTTATCTTCTTGCATTTCATCAGCAAGAACTGGGACATAAATAATAAACCACAACTCTATTTGAAGAACGCTGAATTGAACAGCAGGTCAGAACAGGGAGACAGTTAAGCTTATTTTAATATTCTCTTTTAAAAGACCCAATGAACCCAAGTTTTATGGATGTTTGCATTAGCTTTGAGGTAGCGAACTAAGCGGCTGCTTGGGGCCCCTTGGCCACCAGGGGGCCCCCCCAATCGAGCCGAAAAATCGAAAAACATTTCTTTAGATAACTTAAACAAGTGACATAAATTAATGAATTAATATGAATGAATGAATTATTAAAGACAAGAAAATTCTGATTTCATGATCAATATACCTCCCTACAACTGCTGCTGTGTCTGCCAGCGTTTAAGTCATGCGCATAATCTAGACACCTCGCGCGTGCATAGACAATTCGTGCGCAACTGCGCATAGTCGCGGACTCGCGGTAATGTTAAGCCATGTCACAAAAAAGGTGCCGAAAAAAGAACGAAGAAAATGACACAGGAGGAGAAAAAAGAGCAAGATAAAAGTATGTTTGCATGATTACTTACGGTATGTTTTGTGCAGCAATTGAACCATTCCTATCTACGGCAAGCCCAGAGGGGAAAAATACATTGCATACACACATACAACGAGCGCCAGTACATCATTACTGGTATTATAGTAACAGACTTTGTTGGATTCTGTCATGTACAATCTAACAAAGTCCGTTACAATAATAATAATAATAATAAACATTTTGTGGACAGTTACACTGTATTGAGACAGTTGAGAAATAATAATATTTTTACAGTTTTCAACAATAATTGTCATTGTTGAACCCTTGCTCTTATTATGTTTTTGATTTCTCAGTTGTCATTATTTGAGCAAATAATTTATTTAATATGTTTTGAGACAGTTTGTATTAAGACGTTTCAAAGAGTTAGTAAAAGAGTAAAGTAAAAGTTAAAAAAAATATTTAAGTAGGCTATCTATTTTTTAAGTATTTATTTTGTATTTATACATAACCTCAATGTATTAATTTATAATGTATCATTATTGCGTGATATTTGTGTCAATAATCGTCAAGCACAGGTGACTCCGCGTAGTGGGAGGGGCCCCCAAATCAAATTCTGCTTAGGGCCCCCAAAAGGCTCGGGCCAGCTCTGATAGGCACCAAATAGGCACTGATTGTCACATCTTGCACTATACAAAATATGTGTTCTCTCTTGAAAGAGAATGTCCTACTTCCCTTACATAATAAATTAATTTGGCTACCATTTACTTCCTTTCCCAAACATCAGTTGCAAAGAAAGTGACTTTATTTTATTAATTTTAAACGTGTCATTGCTTTCATCCACAGTACAAGCCGTCAAGTATGATATTCGGGTCTGAAATGCAAACCAAAGGCTTAACAGAGGAATGGAATCTTAACTCCTCAAATCATTTCATGGGGGGTTTAATAATTGCTATAACTAATTAAAAATGCATGATTAACCTTTTTTAGAGTTCTATTTTGCTCTCGCATCTAAGTGGGGCTAATGACCATTATGATGGTGCTCAATGTGTGTTTGGCATTTGTGAGCTGGAACCATCCGGCGGGACACATTTATAAGAGTCCACTGTATTGCACTTCCCGCTGTTAGCGGGTGCCCAGAACAGCACCAGCGCTCCACCCGCAGGTCCTAATTGCAGTATGCAGATGTGAGCTGTTTAACTGACGCTGATGTTAGAGGCAGCAACTGTCATCCCAAAAGAGAGTCACTCATTACCACATCACAGAAGCACCTCTGCCTTAAGTGAGACGCATTCAAATCAGTCCTTAGCTCTGAAATTACCCTTCAGTTTTTTGAACCACTATTATAATGTTGCATTCAAATGCAGAGCTAAATGATTCTGTGGTAGCTTTAAGAGAGGAATATGTACATCAGGATGGTTTGATTTAGCGGTGCACGCCTAAGTGCATAAATTAGCATTTGATGCGCTGTTTGTTTGACACGCTGACAGATTTATGTGTCATTCTTTTATTAGTCTCAGCATAGCATGGCACATCCATGGACCACCCACAGTTTATTCGCTGACCATCTGATGCATATTTTCATCAGTAAGGGTTCAATGTCTTAGGAAGAACTAGTCAATGGATTTGCCAGGTTATCATCAACTCTTTGAAAGAGGAGGCACTTAAATCAGATGAGCAGAACCATTGTGCCAGACAACAACACTTTGATTTTGTGATTCTAGAAGTTGTTCTTTGGTAGTTATTGAGTGGAAAAAAAGAAACATACATTTTCATCTTAGCGATATAATTCGATTAGATTGTTTAAATATAACAGTTTAAATAATTTTAAGCAATGGGAGTTTGCTAAATGGTTGAGAACCACCGCTTTATAACAACATTAACTGTCAGTTAGATGATAGTGGGTGATTTTTAGCCAGAATAAGCGGGAATCATGCCATTAGTCATAAGCCTTGCGCTATAGGAATTTGTCCTTTTCTTTATGTATAAAATAACTGGGAATCTAAGGAGATCCCTCGGTATCTAATGTCTCCTGAGAGAAAATAACTTCCTGTGCCAAATCAGCCAGTAGTTCAAAGAGCAAACGGATCACGCAGGAGAAAAGGAGAGAGTGAAAGACCATGGTAAAGATAATAAAACATGCTTATTATCTACCGCTAAGACAGGCGGGGGGGGGGGGGGTTGGGGGGATTGGCCAACACCTAGCTTTCCGTTTTTATGGCACAGACAGACAGCATTAGTAGGTCAAATAGCACAAGAATCCATTTTGATTTGCTGTATTGTTATAAAAGGTCAGCTAACCGCTGGCTTTAAATGGCACGGCGGTCACACCGTGCATCACGTCACCTCATGGATTGTAGAAACCCGTCCACTGCGAACCTTAGGGGTAAAATCGCATACTGAGACAAGAGTAAGATCACAGCGCTGGCAATGGTGACTGCCAGAACACATGACATGTGTGTCTCATCCTTCCCCTCCTCCCTCACTACCGGAGCTCCATGATAAATCCGTCTCCGCATCTCCACCGCACATACATTTCACGGTCCAAATGGGATTGCCGCCCGCTCCATGCCATCACCCCGGTGTCAGGCTAATCTTCTGCCCGGACAGACAATGGTGGAGGAGTGGAGTGCTTTAATCCATTAGGCCATGGAGCAGAAAACAGACACCGCACCAAACATTAATGGGCACTCGGAGTCGCGCCCTCTTTGTATCTGTATTCAATTTGGAGGGATGAGTGGAGAACGAGTGAGAAGGAGAGCAGAGGGAGGAATGATTGTGAGCCCCTTCACTGCACATTATCATCTCTCTTTGTCCTTGCTGTTTGATTATGAATGAATTTGGTCGCTGACAGCTCATCGTTTGTCAGCTTCATGTGAGAATTTGAGCGAACAGCAGCAACTCCTCAAAGCGTTAATGAGAACATGCACCAGAAGATTTATAATAAACCTCTGACTTCTTGGTTGAGGATTCAGTGGAAGATGAAATGTAACTGTTCAGCTATGTGCCATTCCGGCTTAAAAACAAGATTCTACACAAGCTAGCTGCAGATTTCATCATACATTACTGTCAGCTAAACTGCTGAAATACTTAGACACGGATTGTAGGAGTGCATCTTAAGAAACCTTTGAAGAACATGTCATGTTCAAGAGTCATGTTAAATTTTTTAATCAAAAGAAATAAATAAGAAAATATATCATGCTTAAAGACCCACTCCGATGAAAATAATGTTTTTCTAGGTGTTAACATGTTCTTGTGGCATTTTTCTGATGTTAGAGGACATACCTTGAGAAAAATAAGCTCAAAGTTGTATTTCTGAGTATTTCTACATTCAAATGGCTGTGAATCAGTAGCAGACGCTAAAATGCCGGCTAAAATAGACTGGAGTTGTGACGTAGTAACTCCAATGGGCGTCTCCACACGCGACGTCTTGGAGTGAAATAATGATCGGTGATCGGTGATAACTTTGATTAACTTCGGATAATAATAATTAACGTGTATATAATACTGTTGCCCCACCGGTATTGGGGGTGTAAGCTAGCGGGAGAGACAGAGCTCTCAGCAACGGGCAGGGGGAGGGGCGTCTCCGTGCCAACGGCTCCGCCCACAACGCAGAGGCGAATTGCTAATGAGCTACTGCCGCTCTGCTGAAGCGAAGTCCCAGAAAACGGCACAGGTTTTGTGATTTTGGCTAAAAATGACATAATCATAATTTAAAGACCACTGGGAATGTTTAAAAATAGCTCAAAATATGATCGGAGTGGGATTTTAAAGAAAATGAAGCCTATTTTGAAGACCATTAATATTTTCTGTATTGTGACGTCATTTTCATGACAATTAAGGACATTCTGATTACTGTAATGGATGAAATTTAAATAAATTATGAAAATAATTTCACTTAAATAGGCTTCATGTTTTTTAGGTAAAATATATTTTCTTTATTTTCTTTTTATACATTTTTGTCAGAATCATCCTTAGGTGTTCTGACATATCTAATAAACAAATATAACACATTTTGAGTATCCATATTAAACAAATGCGCTTGTCTTTATTGTGAATTTGCAGGTGGTGTCCCGTAATTTACAAGCATGCTGACCCGTAATGAGGTGATGGTGGACGGGTCTCTGATTCTTCCATCTTCATCCTTTAGGTTATATCCCTCCGGTCTCTTATCCCTCTCACTGATCTTCCACAGTTTCACAGTTTTATCTGAAAATAAACAGTTACACACAGCTTCAATATACCACTTGGAGGGAGCAAGACATGATAAAAGGAGGAGAAATAGAAGAGAGAGAGAAGAAAATAAAAAGGTGGGCAGTGAGAAATTTAACAGTCTGTGGGACACAATCTGGCACATGGCTGGAAAATATCCAGCACCAACTGAGTATATAAACCGTAGCCATACCATCTGAACATGGGGAGATGTATGATGTCATTGGAAGACTTTACTGCTCCTTACTGTTCTGTTCCAACAATCTTTTGTTGAAATGCCAGCAGCTATTATAATCAAATATTGATGTTTGGACTTCACTGACTTTCAAATATCTTCTTTTGTGTTCCACACAAGAGTCAGTCATACAGGTTTGGAACAATGTGAGGATGAGTCAACGATAGCAGACGTTTATTTTTGGGGGAACTATCCCTGTCACAGCACTATTTTTTGCACTGAGATCTCAAACGTCACTCACCATTGGTGGAGAGCAGGAAGTAGGCAGCGTTCTGCTGAGGCAGCCAGCGTATCTTATTGATCTTCTCCTCGATCTCTAAACTCTTCAGGTAGTCAAACTCCGGCTCGTGACTCTGAAACGTGCTGTAAACATTATACTCCCCACGTCTGTGAGGCTGGTTCTTGCTCTGTGGGCGAGAAGAGAGAGAGATTTCATCTATCTAGGTTGTTTGTTCAGTTGCAAAGACCAACATAGCTCATTACTATCATTTGTTTTGTTACTATCATTTGTTTTGTTATGCTCATATAGGTATTTGTGGCGAGCAGCAGGACGAGGCCGGTGGAGTGATTGATAGTGAGCGACACCAACGCGACGCACTGGTCTCGTATCTCAGTACTCTGCAGAATGACTAAATTCTGAACAGAAAACATAATCTAATTAGCTGAAAATATTTAATAAATGAACTTGGAAGAGACACAGGATGTGTGGAACTTTGTTAATAATGAGCATTGAGATTAATGGAAATCTACAGGGCTTTCTGCCTGTGAATATCATATAATGTGCTGCTGATTCTGTTAACGGTTAATTGCAGGTTTCTTGGTCACAGTTGGACTATTACATTTAATGCATTCGCGATCAATGACAGCATGGAAATAAGGAAGTTTTTACGTTGGGAACCATCAAAATCAATAATTGTGAAAACCACTCATGCAGTTAAATTAAAGTAAACAGAGAACAGTCCCTCTCTAGAGGAGGTTATAAGAATTTGTGTGTGTGTGTGTGTGTGTGTACTAGCGTTTTGGGCATGTTCGTATGTGTCTGGATTTGCTGACAGCATGCCATCTATTCTACAGGCAGAATAAACTGAATTGAAAAGAAAAGCCCTCCTTCAGCATTGAGGAGTATAGTGACAGTAGTTTATAGTGACTGTTTTCCAATAACAAGCTACTTTTTCCAATGAGTAGCAGTGTACCTCGACCAAACATTAATTTGCTCTTTTAATGTCTCATTGTATTGTGTACACAGCTTTACCGTTGCACTGTCCTAAACGACCAACCCTCTCAGTGAATCTTGTTCATTTGGACAGTTTATATTTCAATGAATAAATAAAAGTGTCACTGATTTGGTATTTTAGGCCTTTTAGAGCTAAATGTTTACAATGAATACAGGACACTTTTTGAGAACTTGTCATTGATGTTGTTTTTAAAATGTGAATCAAATAGCTAAATCAATAACCTCCCATACTATAGGATGAATTTAATGCTGATTTTTAGTAATAGAAAAATATGCACATACAGTATAGATATAAGTGTACCTGTATTTAACCTTAGTTAAATGAATCTGGTATATACTGCTGTATGTTTTTAACTGAATTGTGTCATTTGTGTTTGTATTTTTGTCTAGTTGTGTATATAGCAGTATTTAGTGTAAATGTATCTGTTAAAGTTTGATGCTGTCATCCTAATTGAATTGTTTTTGTCCTAAAAATACAACTCTGATTAAATTAAATATAATTGTATAATTATTTATATACAAATATATAGTTCTCTTGTTTCCAAACAGGTTTGGTTATGACTTACAATATGTGGAGAGGAAAAAAAACTTCTTTTTTGTTCCACAGTAGAAATAAAGTCATACAGGTTTGGAACGACAAGAGTACATGGTGACGAAATTTTCATTTTGGGTGACCTATCCCTTTAAGTTGCTTCAGTGTACTTAGTTACTTATTGTTAGTAGCCTGTAGTGTATCAACCCTCTAAAGAAGCTTCCCAAAAACTGTTTGCTGTTTAATGAATAAACACGTGACGAAAGCTTCACGTCTGAGCATGTGCACCTGAGGTTTATCGAGACCTCACCTGTGTTACCATTGTGCGTCTATTGAAACCTTGTTCAAAGCCACAGGAAGTTGTGTTACAGGGTGCGACCTTGTGGTTTTTGCTCACACAGTAAGAGAAGTACAGATTAGATTGACCTGCTGAGTGCCATCCTTTTTTTTTTTACAGGAATGAATGCATGATGTGAAAGATTTCATGGTTTCGTCTTACCTCTTGCTCCCTTTGGAAAACCACAACTCTTCCTCCCTTGTCTCCCGTGGCCAAGAGCTCTCCAGTAGAGTTGAACTCCACAGTAGAGATGATGTCAGCTGCAACACAACACAAGAGAGCCTTTATGTATACAATACTTGCCACTCTTTATGAGGTATAATGTACAGTGACCTGGTCATTATCATAAAGTAAACCACAATGATTGATCTTCTATGTCACTTAAGGGGTTTATTTGGTGATTAATGACGGGCTCTCTGTACATTAAACCACTTATTACACAGCTACATATTGATTTGAGAGTAAACTATTTTATTATGCAAGAAGAAAGAGACCATGGAGTAATATAAAACATCTGGGAAATTGGTTAATTATACAGCTTAGTTTTCCAAAACATATTTAACCACTCCAGTGGCTGCGAACAACAAGCGTAATATGCAAGTGTATTCACTTTTGACGTGTTGCAATTGGTCACAAAGATCAACTTTAAAAAAAAATTTTTTGAAGAAATTAAAAACGAATGACATGTTTGGCATCATTGTCATCGGACCTTGTGTGCACGTCTTGAAACGCCATATGAATGCAACAACATGGATTGTAAAAAGTGCTGTACAACTAAAATTGACTTCTGGACTTGAAAGTCAATGAGATTTGAGAACTGCATACGTGGAAAAAAAAAGAAAGTCACACAGGTCTGGAAAGACATGAAGGTGAGTAAATATTTTTTTGGGTGAACTTTTCCATTAAAATAATGCAGGTTGCCAGAAGAATATCAATTCATAGTAGAGTTATTCTTAGGTCTACTATTCTTATAAAAAGATGGTGTTAGGAATATATATGAAATATATTCAGAAATCCGGGCTATTGTGTTCTGCAATACCAGAATACAATAAATGATAAGCTTTTATTATTGTCGATTTTATTAATCACAGCAGAATTAAGAGCTACAGTGGTTAGAAATGCATTAGTTTGTCAAACAACATTGTGATTTGTCGAAAAACAGCAATAAGTCCTCCATCTAAATTCGCATATGTTAAATCCACATGTGTTAAATCTGCATATTATGTTAAATGCCTGCCTCTCTTAATAATGTTAAGCTGTCGATACCGACTGGAAGAAATGCGTTTTGTTCTAGTGGCACACATTTGTGAGAAAAAGGTTAAAAGAGACTTAGGAAAAGTTCTGAATTTTTTGTGCATGCAAATACATAAAATAATCCCCAAAAATCATGTTTAGCAGAAGATTAAATACTTATGGAATCCCTGCATCAGACCAAAGGGCTGAAAAAAACATTGCGTGCACTTGAACAGATAAAGAGAGCAAAAGCTCCGAAATCTCCACCCTCCACAGAGAGCCTACGCTCCCCTCCTCCGACTATCCTTCCTTCCATTCATTATCATCTGACACAGAAATACACAACATCCTTCACGTTCAACACTAAATCCACGGGATTCACCGCCGAGGACAGAAACTGCCTCATAATTTACATACGACAGGATTACCTCGAGACATCTAATAAATCAGTTTCTAGAAAGATTGATTTTAATGCTGGTACACAGAGAAAAGATAAGCAAGTCTTTCATCTTTTCTAGGCATACAATACAAAACGAGCAATTTAGTGATGGATTGTTATTTTCAACCAAAAGTTTCTGAACCTCTGAATCTTAGGTTACTATTCACATCTGTAGGAGGGTTTCCATACCTTTCAGAAATCTTCTTTTATCTTCCTCTAAAAGATGCATTTGTTTGAAGGGTGATTAGCTAAAAACAGTAGATTGCGTGATTATTCTGTGTCGGTCTGCAAACAGACATTGCTTTGGTAGATGTTGCGTCTTTAGTGGCATCCGTTAATGAAATACGAAGGGGTCTTGATGTAACAAGTAGGAAAGAGTGCTTCAAATTTATTTTTTTGTTTGAGAACCCACACACTGAATTTATTGCTTGCTGAATTGAAAACGGGAGGAAGTGGTTGCCATGGAGACCCCTTCCATTACTGTTGTGCCACATTTGACTGGAAGACTTTGCTGTGTGTGTTAAACAGCCTGAATGCGTGGCTTACAGCGTCGGATGCCGGTCAATGGCACGGTGGGGGAGAGACTGAGAAAATTAAGTTATTTTTGAACATCATGGCTGCTGAATGCTGAAATACTGCTGAAACCGTCCTGAAGTATTGTACAAATAGCTGCAGAACAGTGTGATTTATTCACAATGGCACATTCTTTCTATGTTTTCTATAATGTATATTTAGGTTTATTTTGTCTATTTATATTTCATTTTAATCAGTATATTGTATTATATGGATGGATACCCTGGTGAAAAATAAATATGCCAAAATGTATTTTAAAATGTCTAAGTATACTACAAATACATGTACATATTTATGTACTTAATATACCCTCCGATTGTACTTTTGGTATACTAAATTGATATACCTAAAAGTCTGCTAAATTGGAACAACTAATTTTGTTCTTAATGCACTTTAGTTATCCAGAAATATGCGGACAGACAGAGGGAGGGAGGGATGGATGGATGGATGGATAGATAGAAGGATGGATAGATTGATTATTATTATAAAATGTATTGGACAGTCTAATGTTGCATTGTTAATCAATAACTGCATGAATATGTTTTCTCTTCAGTTTTAGTACGCTTTACAGTGGCGTCATATGGGAAGGGCGTCAGGAAAATCTTGCTGTCCTAAATGACGATGATGAAGGACTCCGAATGGGAGGATTCGGACATGGTGAGACTGTTATTTCTCAGGCACGTTACTAAATGAATGATGCATTAAAAAGTCTAATAGTCGGCATAAAGATATGTCATTCCCTTGCGAAATTAAAGCAGATATTCAACGTCTAAGCCCATTGATCTGGATGCTGCATTTCTTATCTTTGTTTGCACAGAGAGAGACTGTGAAACCCCCTACTTCTTGAGGGAGGGCGAGTTGAAGTCATTACAGTCAGAATAAATTGTATTCATTTACTAATTATCTTGCTGTTCTTTGTTTCTCAACAGTGAGCGGCAATAGAAAAGACTCAACAAAGCGCCCTGAAAAGAGTTGGATGTTGCATAAGGTAATAACAGAAGTAGCTCTGGGATACAGCAACATTTGATCAATCGTTGAGGAGCACCTGACCGTACACTCTTTGCTTGGCAATAACACAGGCCTTTCTCATTATAAACACATTAGCACACTGCAGTCTGAGACAGGGAGAAAACTGATGACAATGTTTTAATGAGTTTGCTCAATTACAGACATGTTATTTCTCATCTTACTCTCAAGGATAAATGAGACAGCAGAGAAGGAAAGCCAAATAGAGGAACACTATTTGGGGGGGGGGGGGTGTTGACTTAGAAAGAGAGAGTGATTTCATAAAAGCTATTTCAAGGTCCTGTGGTCCAGCATTCCCATGCGTGTGTGACTGTTTGACAAGAAATATCCAGCTAAAGAGTATTTCACAAATTGATATCCGTTTAACTTGATTCAGTGACTCTGAAGAACACTAGGGATGTGGATGAATATTACAAAAATGTTCAGATCACATTTAAATAATAATAAAAATAATAATAAAAATAAACAATTTGCATTGACATTCATGAAAAACTCTCATTCCCATAATATAAAAAATAACGAATTGTAAACTAATAGAAGTACTTGTTTTATAGCTTTTAATTTATGCTGATTTATATATAAACGTGTAATTTCTATAAAAAAAAATGTGATTTCTTGTTTCTTTCTTTTAGGGTGATCCAGACGTGTTGTTTGCTTTGTAAAATTCAGAGGGAATCAGATTTGATATCCTACAGGTTAGTCATCTATTTTGAATGTCTTTATACTAAGCTGCCTATGACTAATAAAGTGGGCAGTGGATTACAGAGTGCAGTTAATAAATCCTGCGGGCACCCATGTCTGCAACAGCAGGGTCAAAGGTCAGGGTCTCATATACCCAAAGTGCTTCTGGGAAAGAACAGATCTCTCTTGTGTAATTTGCAGCCGCTCTCATTACTCACACACCATAAAGTGGGTTACCGTGCCAACCTGTCTAATCCCAGCAGCCCCGGCAGCTCTGGAACATATATGATCATGGCTTCCCCATCACAAAGGCATCATGGGAAATATAAAAAATATAATGTTCATAATGGCATATTAGCATAATATTTAAGCAGTATGTTGCCTATAATGTGCACAGTATGTACATTTTCTTTTTTTTAACATTAACCACAATTTGTACCATTTAACATGTTTTAACTAATTATAAGCCACAAATTATATATGTATATATACAGTATATTTTATACACAAAATTGGATTACAAATGCAAAATAATCATGTTCACTCACTGAATTAAAAATGTCACAACAATGCAGCAAACTACTGTCTAAAATGTGTTTTATTATACATTTTCAACAAAAAAAAGTAAGCTATATGCAGTATATTGCAGTATGCTGTAAGCAGTTTCCATTCCAAACACAGCTGGGTTATAATGTCCTGCTGTTTAAAGGCTGCAAAGAACATCCACAGAACAAAGTCTAATATAGTCACACTTAGCTTATATTGATCTACAAATTGATTTTCTTTGCCTTCGCACAGGCAAAATGAGAATGAGATCAAGTTGATGCACCATATCAAGACGTTAAATGCCACTATGCAGCGAAAGAGGACAGTGGGTCAACAAAGATCTGTAGGAAAAATAGCAAGTGGAATGTGTTTAAAGTACAGCTTCTCTAGATCTCATTGAGGTTTCAGCATGGCACAGCTGTCTGCAACATAAGAGAGAGGCTGGTTCATGGAAAAGTAGGTCAGTCTGAGTCTAGAGAGCCCGTCTCCAGCTACAGAACATCCAATCATTTCCAAAAGACAAAATCAATGCTTGTTTTGAAGTTAAGCCAAAATGAAATGATTTTGTGTAAAGCCTGTGTGGAAGCATGTCTGCATGGAATCTGCAATCATCACAGGACCTGATAGAGCACTGTGTTGTAATGCACAGTTGTACGTTCGCCATTGTCTGTGAGATTAAAGCCCTTTCGCTGAGTTCAGCGTCTCAACGGATCAGCCCGAAAGAGAAGCTTACAGCTGCCTTAACCTATCAGAAGTGTTTAA